CAAAGTTTGAGCTGATTGCTCGTCTCCATCAAAATTATGACTTTTCAAGCAGTATAAAACAGCAAATTTTTTGGGGTTTTTTTGGATTTTATAACTTCTCATGAAGACTATCATCGTACGATGATCCCCCCCAATTACCGTATCGAGGGACCACCCGCTGAGTGGGCGGGCCTTACCACCCTTTCGTATCTCGGAGGCTTTGACCTCACTCTCTCCTTACGAGCTTACCGTGAACGGTTCGCTCGAACAATCTTGTACTCGCCTAAATAAATCTGAACCACCAATTGCTCCTTTCACACAGTTATTCTAAGTCCGAGGCCAACATCCCTCGAAGAGTCTTCCACCCGCTAACAAAGACGCGGAGTCGGAGAAGAGTTTGCAAGCTTGAAAGAGATTTTTTATTAATAACGATTTTTGTTGCTTTCATACTTTTCAAAAAGTTTTTACTGTCAAACACAGAAAAGTCGAAGTTTTACCAGTTCTCTTCTACCGCTTGTATCGATGTATTAGGATGAACGGTGAAAAATGGGACACCTTGAGAATAATTATTAATTTCTCAAGAGAGAAAAGCGATTGAATTTTCTAATTTCGATAGATATTAGAGTATATTATTCTCTTTTACACAGTACCTATATAAGGTCATTTACATACCTAACAAATCTTATGCTTGCTGAAATGCAAAGTTAATCACTTCAACAAATTAGGAACTTGTAGCAGTATCTGCGCAGTGAAATATGCGAAGCCATCCAAAGGACCATTGCTGCAATGGGTGAAGCTACAGTCACCGCCACTGTGGCTTGCTGGCCGTAACGCATGAGGTCAGGAGATATGGTCAGTAGCAGTTTTGGGAACAAAGATGCGTGTTATTTACTTCTTTGGAAGTGAACGTATGTTTTCTGGCCACCATCTGATAGAGCTTCTTACGTGAAATTACAATTGAAACATGAATTTTTTGATTTTCATTGCGCCAAAAATTCGCAATTTTTCAAGTTTTTTGCTTTTTTATCTAAAAATAAAAGGAAGGAATATGTATTCAATAAAACTCTTGAAAGAGCGTGAAGAACTCTTTCGAATGGTATGTGACGCGCTTTATAACTCTACGGTATGGGAGCGCAAGACTGCGAGATATTCAAAAAAAAAAACCCCCTGTTCAAGTTCTTCGAGGCTCCACGCGTAGGGTTGTGGGAGAGGAGCATTGACGCATTGCCAGAATAATAGGCGAGGGTCGCTTATGTAAGTGACGTTTAAGTTGCAATCTGCTTGCTCTTGCTCGAAACAAAAAATCCCAAAGTGTAATGAAAATCAAGCTGTCCCATTTTTCAAAAAATGTATTATGTGCTATAATAATATTATATGCAATATTATGCAATATTATGTGCAATATTATGCAATATTATTACTAACAATATTATGTGACTGAAAAGCCCTTCAGACAATTTTATGAGGAGCACGATTTGCTCCTACATATAAAATTTAAAAGCTTGCTAATTCGTTAAGGAGTTACGAATTCTTACTGGTGCGACAGAACTTTCATTTCAACCCGAATTCTATTACTAACGTAAAGTAGATTGAAGAAAAAATTGAAACAATGCATATATTGCTGTTGCACATACAAATTCGTGAACTTTGGTGACTGGGGTTTTCTTTTATTCCCTTTGATTATTATGCGCTTCTCTGGTCTGTTTCTTCCCTTTCCTCACTTCTTGACATCGTTTGCGAAGCACTTGATCAGTATTATCTCATTTGATATTAGGTAAACGTCAGTTGCAACTTTGTCGAATCAGACAGCACAATGGGACTTCGCAAAGGAAGAGAAAGGGCGTAAGAAAACTCGTCCAGATTTGCTCTAAATAGCCACCAATTTTGAATTAAGTGGAAGTATTCTATAAGTTATTTGCAGCATGTGATCCTCATCGTCTAGAATCATAGAGAGCATTGTCCAGGCATAACTCTCATAAACTTGTTAAACTACTGACGCCTATTTGCGTGGTAGTGTTGTGGGACGACGCGATTTTGCACAACACTTTGCGCGTGGGAAAGTTTTGCGGTTATTTACGAAATGCAAGTTGATTTTGTAAACAACTATAAACATTGTTTCAACGACGGAGCCTACATATCCTAAGATTGCAAATTGGAAAAAAATTTTTGGAAGAAATACTAGACCTACAAAGAATATGACTTCGCAGCAGGTGTAGGCCACTAGTGGTCCACATGCCCCTGGCAGCGAAAAGTGCGTGGACCACCGTGGCCCTCCTCGTCAATGGGTTAAAGGCACCGTCCACCCAGATTCTCGACTTCCATGTTTTTATCTTCCGGGGCTTTCTCATGTGCCTGATTCCGAATATGAAGTCGAGAATCAGCAAAAACCCTAATTCCCCGTTTCGGACGAAGAACCCAAAGGCCGGCTTTCCGGAGGCGGGTGAATGGGGAAGGCGGTGCCGTCTGGTTTCCTCGTGCATCCTCGTTATTCCGGAGCGATTTTCTCGCTTGTGAAGCGACATTTTGCGCCGCGACATGGACATTGGCTTGATAGGGGGTCCGACTATCTTATGCTGCCAAAACCTCAATACCCTCAACTTCAGGTGGACGGTGCCTTTAATCCGACCTACGCAAAGCGCGCTTATGTCACTTAGAGAATCATTGATGTCTTTCCCTACTTTCTCTTCACTCAGTGGATGATTAGAATTAGCAAACACACATGATTCTGCCAGGATAATATTAGGTCGTTTCATAAGTTCGTCAAGTTTTCATTTTTGTCGCCGTTATTTAGCGAAGCGGTTCGTTCACGCAAAGTGCGTATACCAATAAAAAGAGAAAATCTTGCTTTACAAGAACTGTTATTCGTTTTCAGAGCAAACCTTAATCCCCTTCTTTGACGACTTCTCGAAGGAAAATTTTTTGAGGAGCAAAATTGGCGATTTCGGCACCTGCAATTTTGAAATCATAATACGGAGTCACAAGTGGAATTTTTTCATCTGAAGTTGTTATAAGTAATGAAAAACAACTGTTTATGGGACTACGGTGCATATAAAAGTAGTCTCCTTACCTAAAGAGACGCTACATAGAAGGATTTAGCACACTTTTACCATGTGTGTAGATGTTTTGCGTTTGGTGCAATTTGGAGAAGTCCCCACTGCGAAAAATCTTGAGAAAGCGTAAAATGTTGGACAGAGCTTGTACTTATGCATCTACACCACTTAGAAGAACCCATCTATTCCTCAAAACCCGATAGGAGGACCGACACATTCTGTCGCTAAACATTGTTGGAACCTTGTTCAAATGGTTCTAAGCATCCTGGCGTGCTGCAAATTTGTCAATATACCAGTCTTGCTTGCTACTATCCATTCCGCCTACATATGACAATAACAGTTTGCGAGATACGGACCAAATGCGGAAAGTGCAGTTGCCGAAATCGCCAAATTTTGCCTCTCAAAAAACCTTTGCTTTGAGAAGTTGCAAATCAAAGGGATCTAGATTCGCTCAGAAAACAAGCAATAGTTCTTGTAGAGCAGGATTGGCTCTTTCGAACGGTACGGTGCTTTGACCTGAAACAACCGCATCATCGAGAAATGGCTACAAAAATAAAAACTCTATGGACTTATGAAACGACCTAATATAATACAACGGAATGCAGACGTATTGCAAGATTTTGGGAGGGTAATGGCGCGTTTTACGAGTGCAGTGCACACCCTGACTCTCTTATCTATACGTATCGTGTATTCATATGTATGCTTCCAAAAGTCTCAAACAACTTCATGTACCTGCAATACTAGTAGACTTATGAGTGCGCCTGATGTAATGGGGGTGACTGACACGTGGTATGAGGCGGCTTACGATCTTAGGGACCAATGTATTATTCCTGAGCCAGCTTAGGATCTACCTTGCGAAGACGGTGTATAGGTAGTAGTCTGGGAGGATTACAACAGGACTAAGTGCTGATCTCGTTGTAGAGGCTAGCGAGCATTCAGCGGTCATTTCGACTACGTGTACAAGCGCTGGGCGCATATCTGTGGCGGTGGCGATCTCACGATCAGTTCTTTTCTTCAGTAGTGGTGGGAGAAGTTTTTTGAGGGGCGGGGGGTGGGGGGAAGGGCGCAGCAGAACCTTTTTCAAAAGAAGGGCGTAGCGGTGACTTGCAAAAAAATTTTTTGGGGACTTTTCTTGCAGCCAACAACCTTTATCCACGAGAATTCGAGAAAAATAATCGAGCGACAGTCATGTCCTCCCTCCCCAAGAATTGATTTTCGAAGTCATTAGAATGTTACAAGTTTACAAAAGAACCAATTTGTATAAAGGCCGAAACATGTCTGCACAATTACAACTTGCAAGCTATATTGTTCACATTGTTCGCTTGCATTTATCAAAATGGTCTCCCTGTTACAAATTGTAAGTGGGTCATCTGATACAATGAGATTTCTCACAAATTATAGGACCTTGTTTCTCCTTTTGCAACTTGATTTGATCAACAAAAGATGTCTTCATTGTATTGTCGTGAGAATGAACAACAATCGTAAGATGGCAGTTACTTGTTGTGAAGGGTAGAGTACAAAAAATGGAAATGACCCGTGAATGAAAATTTTCAAGTCAGGCTGATATATAGTAAGCGGAACGAAATATCACATGCAGTGCTAGTATCAAAATTAATTTCAAAAATGTTTGTTATCGCTCCACATGTGAAGTGGTAATATCACTTAGTCACATAAAAGATTAAAGCATTAACATATGAGACACGTGCTGAACCTGACCGCTAGAAGTCGATGTCAGAAATGTCGCGCGCACACACATTAGCACCCAAAGCAAGGAAGCGGAAGATTTTTCGAGAAGAAAAATTTTCCGCATTTTTCATCCCTCTAACTTGTTTTTAAATCAAAAAGCATATGAACAAAAGTAGTAACATAGCCTTACTTAAGACGAGCGTGAAGCGACTAGCAAACACTAAGTGTGCAGGCTTCATGTGCAGAAGTGATGGTAGTAGTGCAGAAGTGGAGATGTATGACTACTTTGCTGAGCAGAAGCCGCACGATCGCGGACATCGTTGTCGCATTTCAGGCCATGTGCCACAGGCGCCACCTTGCGCCCAACTGCTACACAATGCGTCGCGATCCACGCACTGTCGCGTCTGAAAATATATTTTTGTGAGCTCCAAGAATTCGACATTCTGGGCAACTTACCGGTCGAGCGGGAGCTCTAGATACGCTAGGAATAGCGAGTGTCTGAGTAGCTATAACCTTCACAGCCTCCCATGTTTCTCTTGCGGTGGGCATAATCTAAAGACGAATTTTTTGCAACCGTGAAGTGGTTCAACGCGCCTTGCTTTAACCGATTAATCAGAGTAACGTAAAATGCTTGAACATGCCCTTGTTTGCGTATATACATAAAAATAATTTTATTTATTGCCATTGAAGGCACCGAACATCCAAACTGAAAGAGTGATTTTGACCCGGTACTGCCAGTCCCCGGTTGTCCCAAAAGTAAATTCCATTTCCAAATAAATTGAGCTATTCTTGTTCTCCTATAAGACTTAATGTACCACTCGATAGAGCAAGCTCTAGAAAAAGACCACCAAGGATCCACCTAACGTAATTCAAATAAAACTTGGGGCCAAAAATCAAGATTTTTTAGCTACCCTAAGAATTGGATCTCCTTCCAGAGAATTCCTACGGAATTTCAACTTGGTATTTATATAGTAAACATATTACCCAAAAATGTATTTGGCGGATTTTTTCAGGGCTCAAAATTGAGAAAAAAGAAAAGGTCCGAAAATGCCAAAATGCCACTTTTTTCGGGTTTTTTATGTAAAGCTTGGTATTTCTCGAATATAAAAGCACATACAGGGGTAAGTTTTGAGATTATACTTAGTAAGGCTTGTAGTATACAATGAAATATGTGGGAGGGGCTGGGGAGGAGTTTGCCATTTTTGGACAATTTTTGTTTCTCGTTTCTATGCTTGGAAAAAATTCGGTGAAGGCATATTTGAGTACTACTATGTGCGTACTACATAATGACCAAGTTAGAGCTCTGTAGGATTCTTTATCGCAGAAATCCAATTTTCAGGTGACAGAATTTTTTCCGATTTTGGCCTCAAACTTTCCACGGAATGCGGCTTAGGTGGATCCCTGGTAGATATTTTGTAGAGCGTGATCTGCTCTATCGAATGATACCCTAAGTTTACTGGGAAAACAAAAACATCTTGAATTATTTGATAAAGGCGTTTACTTTTGGGACAGCCTTATACAAATATGTCGAAGATCTCATAATCAAATTGAAGAACCAAATTTTGACGATTCTGGATACATCGAAATTTATGTTTACATTTGCTATCTTCAGTCATTCATGTCTAGGCGAAGCCATCCCTCTTTAACTTCTAGAGATTTTTTCTCGCTTTTGGCTACTCATTTCAAAGCGTGACCTGGACAACCAATTGGTTAGAGGCCCAGCTATTGTGCCGCATAAAAATCTCAACCTCAATTTGGGTGGGCAGTGCCCGATGAGTAATGAAGGTAGAACTAAAGGTTAAGGGCCTACTGCGAACAGTAAAACCAAAATTCTACTCGGAAACTGGCCCCTGACTCCTTCTAGTCTTCCGTAGTTCTTCACCACAACAAGCTGTATTTGTGGGAAAACTAAAACTACCCTACCTACCCTACTAACTACAGTAACTTCGCAATACATCAAGCGCATGACAACTGGGTTGCCTTTTCAACGTTGAATAGGTCATATGTACAAAAACAAATAATCTACCCATGCACTATTTTCCTATCCTAGTTGCAATCTGGAACTTGAATGTAACCCGCCCATGAAAAAGGGTTTCGAGCAATTGACAGTCCACTATTTCTGAATAAATCATGATATGCACAATAGTACCCCCGAGTGAGCATAAATCATCCAAGAAGGAAGACTGACAGTTAATCTAGACATACCGTGAATAAGCCATCTTATCAAAGAAACTTTTAGTCTGCTGCATCATGATTGTCAAAATGAGATTACGGCTGAATTGTTATCTGGCCATCTTCACAAAATTTGGGTATCATGTTACCTGATTTTCCGCCAGCAAGAACCCGTCCCAAACTTGTTCTTCAGGCCTCAGCTCAAAAAGATACGAGTACTTCACACGAGCTTTGCCTTTAGCCCAATCTTCTGAACCACCCGAAGCAGGATCTGCAAATTGAAGTGTCTTGCTAAGGATTCTTCTATGATTGTTGGCTAAATTTAGCACTTACAAAGCGTGTCGGCACCGGTGCCAACCTTGTAAGTGGTACCAAACATCCGCCGTAAATGTGCAGATGCCGTTAAAGCTGTAGATCTCTGGAAAACAATTGGTAGCAAAAAATTGAAGTGTTTTACCAAGTTGCACCCTCTTTCCAGAACACCTAATTTCCACAACCTTATGACGAAATAAATTCCACTACCTTATGGCGGGATAGCTATGTGAAAACTGTTTTCTGCACCCTCTTTCCGCAGTACAGTAACATGACCGCTGTTGCCGCTTTTGATTTGGAAAGTATCTGTCAGCAGAGAAACATGACTGCTCTTTTTCCATCAATAATTGGAGTTTTTCCGCAGCTCTTTTCAAAACTCGTCATAGGAGCAATTTTTATTTGTTCAAAAGTGCGTTGCAGCATTCAGCAACCATTAAGTTGCCCATAAAATTGCTTCTTATTGCATTCAACTTCTGAAGGTATCACGGAAATGAAGCTTTGCGCTAGAGAGAACGCTCAAATAGAGCGAATGAGTTTTTGAGTTTTGAGTACTTTAACATGGAAGAAACGAAAGTGCTTTATAAAAACAAATCCGAGTTTTCGAATGCTTCAGACCAATATTCTATACATTTGGAGTAGTACTGAAGACGTTCAAGCGGAAATATTAGCTTACCAGATCATTGACGTCATTGGAGTAGGTCCTAACTTGATGTCCAAATGGATACATGAGAATTTGCGAATATGAATGGAAAGTGAGGAAAGTGTGGACTTTGTGACGTGCCAGAAAATCTCGTACAGATGCAGTTTCAGGTTCGGAGAATGCATATTCCCCCTAAAAACAGTCCCCAAATTGTCCGCCTTGTCATAATGACTCAAATCTTAGTCCAACAGACCTGGTAAATTTCAGAACATGGATCGGTAGAAGAGCCTACTTGTCCGAAAAACCAGTCAAAGTTACGATTGAGATCAACACCTTGGCAACAAGTGGTCCTTGGAGGAGAGAAAAGACCTGAAATATTGTGTAAGTTTCTCATTTTTCTCGTTGGAAAACAAGGCAAAGATCAGCAGATTTGTGTTCCTAATCCTAAAATTTAACGTAACTCTACAAATGCTCGGACTGTTTCTTTTTGAAATCTTTTTCGATCCCTTACTCTAAGGTACTCCAGAACATGTCATTTGTTCTCCGTTTCCTAATAAGGTTAGTAATCTGTAATCTAAAACTGCATTCGCCAAGGTGTTATGGGGTACACCAAAGGAACTCCAAGAACATTCGTGCTATTTTTTTTGGAATCAACATTAGTAATGGTCAGGGTCGCCCGAGTTCAAACCACTCTCAAATTGAGGAAACTAGTTTCCTGAAATGTTTGCTAAATAATGGAAAAAATTTTCGGGTGTTGTAAGGTTGGCGTTGTTTTTCACTATATGATCGAATCACACATTTAGTCGCACAATAAAAGGGAAACTTGCTGCCAAAGTTAAAAAATGGACCCAAACATCAACAACATTGATCGTGTATACCCACTCTTTGGCAGAAGTTTGTAAAATTAAGCAAACGCTGCATAATAATCTTGCAATGCGATTTTTTTGTTGCTTGGTTTAGTAATGGGAATACCTGTGCTTTGCTGAATGCACTTTGGTGGACTCCGATTCTTCCGCCAAAGGCGGATTTCCGGATCACTGCTACTGCGTGAGTATTCGTAGCCGTCAGGGTTCAGTAGAGGTACAATGTACCATTCCATCTGGTCAACAAACTGTCGAACGAGGGGGTCTTTGTCATATTGAGTGACTAACTGAAATACAAAATGTTGTACAAACTTGGTGCTTGTTTCCTCCTAAATCACATCTAGTCCGGAATGCTACGATGTCTTCCTAGCACCTATAAACCAGCTCCACTCACTTCTAAGAGTGTTGTTAATGCTCTCGAAGAAGGAGAAGCTTATGCGCGAAGTGAACAAGTCTTGATTGCTATTTGTGAACAGATAGACACGAAATGAGACTAGATCATGTCGTATACGTCTTTCTGCTAATTTCTATAAATCCCGTGAATCACTTTCGCCATGGAGGTGAAGAAGAACTACACTGCTGATGTTCATTACGGCGCTTTCATTGCGAGTGTACAGCGTAACACAAAAACTCTGCGAACGTAATAAAGTCGTGAAATCGAAGAAGGCTTAGTACATCAATTTGTCTAAGAAGGAAATGAAAAGAAAACAATATCAGAAAAGAAACAACATCATATACAGGGTGTCCCAAAAGTGAGTACGCACTTTTCAGTCGGTTATAACTCTTCCCACGAAGTCTTTTGCTTAGCTTCAAGCACTATTTAGTGGAGCAGGCTTTAACTTAGATATACAGTATAGAGTGAATCACTCAACCTTTTTTATTACTGTAGGATTACGGTAGGAACTTCGAATGAGTTTTGAGCTATTAATGGCTACATTTTGCCCCAGAATAGATACTCAGCGAGCCGTTAACTTCATCATTAGGCTAAACCAAGTCGCTGACTAATAGTATGGAATGGCACATACCGTAAAACTTTTTCCATTAGTAATGCCAGGTAACCCGCAGTAACGATTTTTCAGGGCTTTTCAAAAATGTGATAAAACCATTTGAAACGCTTGAAAACTTGTAAAAAATTGTTGCAACAAATCGCCATGTTTGGAAACACCTCTGCACAACTTTTCAGAAAATTTTGGAGTTTTTTGGAACGGCCCAATGGCGCTGTCTGCTGAAATTTCCTACAGTTCCTACAGTAATGAAGAGATGTGATTCGCTCCATACTGTAAATCCAAGATATGTGATTCGCTCCTTACTGTAAATCTAAGATAAAGCCTACTCTACCGAACGGTATTTGAAGCTGAGTAAAAGCCTTTAAGAGAGTTATTAACGATTAAGTGTGTACCCTAATTTCACGCGTATAAGGCGCGGATTTTCTCTGAAATTGACCAGCCCAAACATGTTGAAGGACTTCGCAACCAAAGGACCATATATCGTTTTTATATTGCTCAAGAGAGTCGTGCGGCATAAGGATTTTCCAAAATACAGTGAAGCGGCTGAGCGGCTCGCTTGAGAAGTGAAAATGGTGCGCCCTGTACGCGTGAAATTAGGGTACTTACTTTTGAGACACCCTGTATTAGGGCGCTCCATGTTGGATGTTCAAGCGTAGCTTTCTACTATAAGTTGGCCACCGAGAACGAAGCTTTCAAATTTGGCTTTTCAAATTTAGCGATTTTAAGGTTGGTTTCGAAAGCGGAGGATTGCTAATCAGTCCCGAAAAATCTTTGAAAAAATTTTCACTGAACGATAGTATATATGTTATTGTGGCATGCTCTCTTGCTTGAAGTGCAGAAACAGAAGTTTCGTGAAAAATATCATTCACAGGAAGAATTTTCTCACAACTGACGTGACAAAAACACTCTTTAACGTCTAAAAAACAAATCACACTGTTTCAGAAACCATTGACACATTTCTAACCCAAAATGTATTCCTACGAGGAAGCTGCAGCGATAAAGGGATTTTACCTATGCAATGACAGTTTTCGTGAGCTTTTATTTTTGCATTTCTATGCGAAATCAACGCCTACCACAGCAACGTATGGACTTCTGATATGTAGCAAGTTTTTACAAATGTTCCAAAGCTAGCTGACGGTCCACAATTTTCCAGCACCAAATTGAATTTCTCGAAATCAGAATCAAATGTTCAGCTTTGTTTTCGGTGGTTAATACAGAAATTTTTGTTTGAACATCTATCATGCAGACCTCCTACTATGAAAAGAGAATTTCAATCATATAATTAGAAAGCAACTTTCGTTGCGACATAATACTTGCTTTATTCTGACTCTTGATTAAGATGTGAAATCTGTCTGGTTTTGCAAGCTGTCGCTAGTCAGCTTCCAGCTTTGAGTGAATAAGCAAGGTGAGATTCGAAATTTCTAGTCTCATCTGGAAACTGGGCTTAATTTTTTTCTTGTAAAAAACCTGCTACTAGCCCACAGCAGATACAAAAAATCTCTAATTTTTTTCAAATTAGCTGTGGCATGCGATTATATTGATCAATACGTTTAGTGACAGCTCCCTCTGTCTCACAAGGAAAGGATACTTGGTCGAAGTGAAGTCTCCATATGAAATGTGTACTATTATAGAACATGGGACGCTGGTTCCGAATCTGCTTCCGGTATTTGCAAAGCTCCTCTGGGTAGGCAAAATTCGAGAGTCTGGCTGAGGTAGAAACAGGTATTGAGGTTTTTCTGGCGCTAAAAAGGAGCAAAGGACTAGCATAAGCTTATTATACTAAAGGTCCTTACTGCGTAAGGCGCACTGGCAGTAATCATGGTCCCAAGTGAGCTCGCAGACTACAGTCCTAAATTTTCATTGTAGCAACGCGTCCAAATTTTCCCTTGGAAAAAATTTCCATAACTCCCCTTCCAGGAGATTTGCAGATACCAAAAGCAGTTTTGATCAACGTCCTATGTTCTATAAGACTATATACATTTCATATGGAGTCTCCACTTCGACTAAGTATCCTTCTCTTGTCAGTCACAACTGAGATGTGCATATAGCCCGATGCGATTTCTTGAGGAGAAACAAAAAGAAAAGAAGAAAACGGTGAAGAAAGATTAGAGAAATAATGGATCCCCGAAAGAAGCAAAATGCAATTGGTAGAAGAAAAATATAAATAAACTTACCACATGTATGAAGTAAAGCACTGTTGACGGTGATACCCATTCTCTGGCATGTATTCCACCATCAATCCATATTCCTTTCTTTTGTCCTCCAAGTCGTTTATTTGTGATCTGGAAAGCTCTAAGTGAAGGAATTATATCTGTTGTTTTATAAATGTTGATTTCCTGAGTATTTCATATGCTGAAAACAAAGATTTTTGAGTGTTACTCAAGTTTTTGAGGAATTCTAATCTACGTATATGAAGCTGAAGTAGATCACAAAAATCCTTTTGTAGATTTATCGCGAATTTTTATGTTTAAAACTTGTAATTTTCAATTATTTCATCCTTGTAATCCCCACATAGAGTAGGTTGTTCTCAAGCGGACAAGTTCTCAAATTTTGCGTCCTTTCGCAAAAAAATACGAACAAATTCCCTCTAATTTGAGTTACTGTCGTATGTCCAAGTTCGCACTTTCGATGACGATTGCGAGTGCTATGCGAAATGTTTGCGGATGCACAAAAACAAACAAGGCGGCGGCGAACGGACGGCGGTCGCACAGCATCGGGTCGAACTGACGACTACATCACGAATCTGCGCATTTGCACGCTGTTCGCATGAAAAATGCCGCCTGTATGAGTAAAGAACATTGGTAAATCGACTGCTATGGCTGTTATTCATTTTTACGCGGAAAAACGGCAGCTAAAGACTTCTCAAACGTAAATTTCTCCACGCTCCGTGACTTTGGTGATCGTGAATTCGACATGTGTTTGTACAAGAGGCGGAAAAGCTAATGCAAAGCTTGAAAAACAGCAACGGTTCGAATTTCGAGGTCAGAAAGAGCAAAAACCTTTATAGAAGGACTCAAATCTGGCTGAAGACTAGTTTCGTCAATCTCGTTTACCATGAGAAAAAAATGCACTCGAAGTTTCGTCTCACCCAGCTTACGATGGCATTTGCGCAGACAACGATCAACAATAGTTTTTGTTCGACACTATAACGGCGTTTACTCATAGTTTCTTTTGTTATCAGCTCTCGGAATATTGTAACAATGACCTTCTCTCATGCGATGAAGAGCGAGAGGTATAATGTTTTCTGGTTCTACAAACATTACAATGTAATCATAGCACTGACGCACAAGGTTTCAGCGGTAAAAAAAAACTGGGTATGTCAGAAAATATGATGGTTGTGTTCCTGACATTAACCTATATGGGATGGTTATTGTAGGATTCAAAACTATCGAACAAAGGCGTAGCTTCACCTATTGATTTTTTTTTGAATATGAGTGGAGCATTCAAAGTTTTTCAAATTGTGAGAAATGCTCGTTATTTTTATGACTGACAGACCGAAACTGATTGAGATAAATTTTGGGCGGTATAACATAGTTGAAGGACACCGAAACCAGTTAATAAATTATATGATATGAGGTAACCTATAAGAAAACAAGGCAATTAATTTATCAATGCCAATTTGGCCAGTTATTGCATGCGAAGATTGTTGTAAAGAAATTTATGATGCTGCAATTAGCTGTTTTTGGACACACCAATATTTTTTTATAATTAGACGTCATCGTTTAAAGCAATGAGAAAGTACAATTCCATAGAACACTCAAATCACTAACCCTGATGAGAGGTATTTGTCGTCCTTCATGGCTGGTGCCGATTGGCTGTACCGAAACTCTTTCTGGGTAGGTGATTGCTAATGCATTCAAATAATTGATTACATCCGCAAATGAATGATATTGTGCCAGGTTAAATTGTACCTAAAAAAATCTGGTCATTAGACTGTCGAGTTGGAGAAAATTCGATTATTTTTTCTCCAGAGATGTTTTTTGATATAATTATCTCAAGAAATGGCTCCCGTTTATTTTTTGTTGAATGACTGCGATAATTGGCTCTGGTTTTCAAAAAAGTATGTGAAATTCGCAACTTCAGCGAATCCATTTTTTTCAAAAGTTCCTTTCTTAAGGTATGGTGACCTCTAAAGTATAGGTGATTGTCGAGAATACAAAGAATGATCTTACCCGTCCATCACGCCAGTCTCGCATTCGCAGTTCACTTTTCAGTTTTTCATGTTTCTCCTTTTGAGCGACGATCACTCTAAACAAACAGGGTAAAAAGAGCTTTCAAATTGAAAAGATTTCTCTATAAGTTGTTCTGCTTTTATGCCCTGCGTACAGCAACAATGGTCAGTTCGCATATATTCAGAGTTGCGAAGAGAAGTAAATCCGCTGTGACCAGATGTTCCGGCGCTTAGCGCGGTGCGCTGTTGGAACGTCAGGCAGATTTTGCCGCCCGTGAATGACGGCTTAGGATTATAGCGAGTTGCAGTAAAGCGTTAATAATGAAGCAGAAGTTGCTTGGGCAGAAGAGCGAGCTTGTTTATGTGCCCATGAACGAACCAAGTAGGAAAAGGCGTCGTAAGAGGATATAAGAGGACTCAGTCGGGTAATGAGAAGCTGCACAGATTGTGATATAGACAGTGTTTAGACATATTGAGATATCCAACTAACTTACCTAGGCAAGGAAATTAGTTGAAGTGGCCTTCCAAGATGAGATATAAACTGTATGGGAGAGGATGAAGCACTCATTCCAAACTGCTTACCTTACCTGCGAAGCTTTTGTGGACGAGGAGTCATGAGCCTTGATTGGAGCAAAATATTATATGCGCAACTGGTATGGAGTCGTAAAATTTTGGGATTAGTTCAAATGGAAAAGTTGTGACAGTCAGAACGTATACGATTCCTAATTCAGATAAACCTCACTCAGCGTTGCCACACTTGATCTAAAAGAACTCAAATGGATTTCGTCCTAGTTGCGCATACAAATTTTTGTTCTTACAAGCCCTCGTAACTCCTCGCCCTGATTGATACGCAAATAAGCATGGCAGATTTGAACTCAGCGTTTCATCGGCTCCAAGAGGGTATACACCTTTACAGAGGCCACTTCGACAGACCAGCCTTCGTTAGTTCAGTACATTTCTGCAGAAGAATTTGATACATTTCAAACAAAACCATTAACGTTTTGGAAGAACTATGAAGCAAATAGATTTTGATAAGTTGTAGACAAAAATTCTGGAGTTCAGCGATTTGAGCGAAATGGTTTCTGCTCCCATATCATCAAGTTTTCTTTCGTCCCAGTTTATAGTCATAACTCCATTCTTCCCCCGCTAAACTGGCGAGCACACTGTGACTGCATATGCAATTATGCGTGTTGGATTTGATTGGGTGTAAACTAGTTCATCTATAGGTTCGAAATGTTCTCATTGGGCCCAGGAATAATGCAGCAGACTCAATCTGATCGGTAGCAACTGGAAATCATCTTAGAATTTATTGCGGCTCTTCTTCAATATTTATGTAGCTTTTGGATTGGTGATTGACTGACAAATGAGAAATAAATGAACGTACAGAGGTATTACCATGTGCAGAATTATTAATATGTAAAATTGACGCTTGTAGTTATATCATAGGCGAAACTCTCTTTTCGTTGAAGCTGCATTGTAAGTAGGTACGTACACCGGGATGTTGCGAAAAATCATAGAAAAGCAATTACAGCGAATTGAATTTTTTGGAAATTTTTTTGAAAAAATTCTGAATAGAGGAAAAACTAGGCGCAGTAAATCAGAGGGCTTTCCAAGTATTTTCGACCAAAATCTCCTGATTTTTTCTGCGCCGATACGAACATTTCGAATCTATAGATGAACTAATCTACACCCAATCGAATCAACACGAGTCATTAGCCTTTTATGGAATTATGTATATAATTTTCTCATGTCTGCTGCATCAAAGGAAGTACTGGGGTTGCTCAACGTTTTTCTTCTTTTGACCTAATACAGCAATGCGTCAAGTGAGTCGTTGCATAGGAAGTCTCAGATATACCCGAATTGTTGCAAAAGCAAGAAAAAAATTAACTTATTATCAGTTACCACATAGGTACTGATATTACACAGCACATAAATTCTGGCATGTATACTCGAGTGTTCTACAATTAAAGCACCCCAACAGGTCACGACGATTGCTCGTTTTCCAAAGCGGATGCGCAGACCAAAAATCGTTCCGTCGTTCGCGCACAGTACGATTTTTGAAAGAAAAGGCGACATCGGCTGCTGTGGCGGCATGACCGGCTATTGACGTAATCGTATCGAAATGGAAAGCGAATGCAACACAGCACAACGTGATATACATCATCATGTAGCTTTTCTGCTACGAATGTACATCGAAACCGGCTATCGATGGACTTTCACACGGACATTAGTGCGTAGGAACGAGATTACGACCGCAAATGTGTGATTCAAGAAGCATGTGAGAATAATCGTTCTCATGAATCATGGTACATCCGCATAGAGGTGATGTTGACATTGTACTGAATGGTATTATCGTACTTTGGAAGAGGAAGTGAAAATGTTGAGACGTATGTTGACATATTGTGTAGTGTTGTTTTGCCAACCAGGTTCATATGGTGGGTCTTTATTAATCTGACATTTTCACTAATATCGTCTCCATCGCAGGTCTAAAAAGGAATTGCAGTTTCACAGTGTATTCAAAAGATGTGTCTACTGTTTAATTATCAATTCACGAAGTGTTTGAAGAAGCTCTAATAACCACTTCGTAGAGCTGGGGTCAACTTAAATTTTCAGTACAGAGAGATCATCATAAATCATGGATCACCCATTCCTACTTAAGACGGTAGAAACTTCGAAAATGTTCTGGCCATTAAGAGCCTCACTTTGTTCAAGCAAGAAAACCGCAAGCCAAAACTTTCATACCAGACTAATCAAGTCGCCACTTTCAAAAATGGCGCCTTTTGGAAGAAGTATGATCACAGTAATGCTTCTTTCAAAAGTTACTATAGGTAAACCGTAACACTGCTCAAGGCGCTTCCAAAATTGACTACACCACTTAAAAAGCTCAAATATTGTAAAGCATAACGAAATAAGCAGCAAAAAAAACCTTTACGCAATTTTTCAGATTTTTCGGAATTTTTATACCAACGGCTGATTCCACAGCGGCCTGGAAATTCCTACCGTAATCCTACAACGAAGGGAAGCAAAAAATCGCTCCATACTTCAGTCTAGGTCGGAGCTAACTCCGCAAAACGTGCTCAAAGCTTCTCCAAGATTTCATGATAGGAGAGTCATTAACAGTCAAACGAAAGACATGTTTGGGATACCCGTTTCGTCTGTCTACACACAGAGCGCTCCATCAGACTTCGAACCGCGTTCAGGCGCAACGTACCAAAAAGGACAATAAAAAGTCGATTGGCAGAACAAAACTACACGATATCCGAGGAATCATAAAAAGGTTCAAAGAAGAGATTACGTAAAAAAATGCTAGCATGATTTATTGGGGTCGATTTGGACCTAAAACTTGCACGGCGCATACTGTAGCTCATGTTATTTTTCAAAAAGTGATTTGACTTTCATGTAGCTTTTCCAGGCACTCACTTCTTTACGTCTTCGATCATCGGTGAATGTGAGATGTTTCTGGCATCCAAAGCCATGAGCAGGTTCTCCTCCAACTCGTCGTTCACCATTACGTGCACCTCCTTACCAGCTTCCGTTGGCGATTTCCAAAAGTCGAGCTGAAGATAACCAGTCACGTGAAAGTCAACACTATTTGGAGTTCGATCAAGAGGAATTTGTCTATCGGTACGTTTTTTTACGCTTTCGTAGTAAAGTGAGACGTTCTCCACTTTTTTCTTTGTGGCATCACTTACATCCACACGCACCCACACTGCAATATTTGCCGATTCCATCGAAAGTTCATTAGCCTTAGGGAACATGATCCAGTTCTCTTCAGGGGAGTTTTTACGTTGTAGTAGAGTATATTAATAGGAAATCTACCAGACTTTCTCAGAAGGGCAGAAAAAAAAACGCTCGCTTCTCAGAGTGGTGTTTTCCAGTTTGGCCTTGCTGTGTTTGGCTGTTTCTAGTTTTAGTTCCCAAGCCTTCATCCAAAGTGATCAATCTTAGGTGAGGTCGCTTTGTCAAGACGAAATGTTGACAGGCTAAGTGTACACGAGCATCTCTTGTTTAGTCAATTCGCATAAAAGTTAGTACCAACACTGTTTACTGAAGATTTGGATCCAACAAAGAATTTTCAAAAAGCGCACTGGTGCGTGCAGTTGAAAGCCTAGAACTAAAAATTTGGAATGTTGCTCATGGCCGAATTGGTGATATTAATTATGCAAATAATGCCGAAGTTGGAAATGAAATAATGGGATCCACATCTTAAACGTCCAGGTAATGTTGGCTTGATAAGTGAGGTCTTTTGAGATTCTCATGCGAGAAGCAAATTCCTCAGCAACCATACACATGCAAAAATGAAATGTGAGCGTACCTACACATGTTGTAGTAGTAAATGTTGGGGTAGATCTTAACGCTGAAGGGGGGGGGGGGAGCGGAAATTTTCCGTTTGAACTACCTGAAGCTTCTCTTTTCCCGCAGCAAACTCTCCTTCATGTGTACATTTGTATGCGTTCACAATGTAGGTAAAACATGGGAGCGGCATAAGTTTTCAAGAAGTGAACTTTTGAGTTCGGCAAAGTAAAACAACCAAGAACATCTCGGAGAAAAATCAGATGGACATTCTTAAATTACAGCGGCGCAATAAACATGTCAAAAAGGTCAGAGCTTTCTTTCTGTAGAGCTATATAAAGTTAATTGTATATATGTTCCAGATGTACAAAGTTTGATCCCATAATTAGACACTTGCTTCGGTGACTTCCTCAGATCTAAAGGTACCACACCGTCGAATATAAAAAGACTTTTGTGCTCTACAATAATCACAGTAGCACCTCATGACAACGTTGCACCAAAGTGGAATGGGTACCACCTCAGAGCGATTTCGAATGAGCTTGAAAGTTTTGCGGTGTGCTTTGTAATGAGTCCACAAATGCAATCGTTTATTAAGCCGGCAAGACAGCAAAATGCTTCTAAGAATTGAAGATGAACGTACAGCGCTTCTACGTTGAATTTGAAACATGCAAATATAAAGTTATTGATAGATGTTTCCGTAAAATTTGACTTCAAAACCATAAAAGCACTCAAAAACCAAAAATGTTGTTTTGATCCCACCTTAAGTTCGAAAACCAATAATCATTATAGTGAACATTTTCCTTAAGCTGGTCGGTGCAAGGCTCGGCACGAGCTGCTACGGGGAAGGTTAATTCAAAATGAAGTCTTTTCTAAACTTGGAAATTTCGTACGAAGGACCCTTTGACGATTTTTCCCCCTTGACCCTATACTCTAAACGTAAAAAATTCTCAAGAAAAAAACGAAACGTCGATTAAAAAAAATCGCAGTTTTTACGTGTTTTCAGCCACAAAAATGATATCCGCTTTGCTTTTTGTCCCAAAAACGATATCCAGCTTGACCCGGTGCCAGCTGTGCCGAGCCGCTTTGGTGACAAGAGATCGAGGAATGTAGGAGTAGCTCGAAGCTATCATTTTACCCATCTTAGGAATGGTGAGTTTGGATGGAAGGAATTTGTAGCTGCATAGCAGATACATTCTTGAGACATGCAGATGATTTGCGATTCCAAATAGCGTGCGTAATCTCGAAGCTGTGATTGCAGAAAAATTTCAAATAATCAAAAAAAATGCCTTGAAATGTTTTTCAGAAGTGACTAGCTATAACAAACAAATGGTACTGCATTGTCCCTTTCAACTATTGGTGGTGTTGTTACATGACAATGGTTGCATAGGTCATGAATAGCATAGGTCATAAAATAACAGGAATTTCCGGAACCATGAAGTGGGGTGAAATCTGGAGCAAGAAGTGCGTTTTGGTGCAAGCATTCAGCTATTTGGTGTAACCAAGATGGAAGTGGCCTATTTAAAATAATAATAGCTCGGTAAGATTTGAATTCAAGGTGAGTACTCCCATTCTCTTCGGTATTTTGACGCTAAGACAATATTTACAAGACGATTTACTGCGTGTTGTGCCAGTCTATGCTCAGAATTATGTTGTAAAGCAATAGCGATCAGTATGTCACGGAAGGGTGTTTTATGATGAATAGTGTACAAACAAGAACCAACCTTGACATCGTTCATATAGAGATCTTGAAGAAAGTCAACATCGGCTTTTGTGGACGGTTTTATCCGATGTACAGAAAATTTTCTGCAAAGAAACGAGATGACTTAGCCCATCAAATTCTGACCCACACTATGTTGAGTCATCTTTTTCTTTTGTCTCACTTTATGTACATTACTCCTTGGAAACCATTGACTCTTAGTAAAGTTCAATGACGGACTAGTTCTTTTTTTTTCACCCACGTCAGACGTCCTACATAGATCCACAACATTCTTTGCAGGTTGCCTATTTTGTTGTGCGAACAGTATGATGCAGAACATAGTTAATTGAACGCGTTGAAAGACCGAAGCATTCCAAGAAAACTTTCAGAGAGATTTCGCGTTTACATTTGAGTTTTTATTCACCATCGCTTGAGTTATTCAGTCACAAAGTTTAGTAGCTAAAGTTCTCTTCGTTCTACTCATAAGCATGAGATAAATTCGGTAGAGAACTGAAGTAAAGAAGAATAAGGCTGCTCAATTATGTATAAGTAATACTGTAGCATATTCTGACCACTAGAAACACTTTTTGTTCTCAAAAAGAAAGTGGTGGAAGTTTAAAGCTAGGAGCGATGGAAATATTTCACAGTAGAAATAAAAAAGAAGCTCACTTCGCATTTGACCAGACTAGCAATGCAGACAAAAGAAGGATGACTAGACGAGTGGAGATCATCGAGACCTGCTAGAATGGATAAGTGAAAGGGATTTCGAATGCTTCAAGCGGTAAAAGCGATACGGTAGCATCAATAAATCGATTACAAAATATCGATCGGCTGGATTAACTTGACCACAACGGATTACTAGGACACACACACACATACAGACACAGATCAACAGATGATCGCCCGGTTGAAGCTTGATGCGCGCGCGCGATGAGAGGAGGGCAAGCTGCGCGACACGGGCTGGTGTGTCGCGACCGGTTGTTCGTGATATATAAATGCAGGTTTGGGCGGGACACTCTAGCCACGCCCAGAAGACGCTCAAAAGGCCATCGAGAACTTTTATTGTTTGTAAATGTATGCAAGTATATCGATGTATTTTTTCCGTGCAACTATATGAATGATAAGTGTTGCCTGAGAAATGACGCAGTAATGCCGCCGAACGAGTTCGCTTGTAGTCGTAGTAGGTGCTAACAACGTAGCGTCGACGACGGTGTCCGCACGTTTATACGCTCTTTTTGCGCTGCTGGGAAAAGTCGGGAATTTCTAACTTGACCTTGGATGGTTGTCGTTCGTCTATCGACATGTTAAGGTGAAAATTCTAGCTGGAACGTTTCTTACCGGCATTGTTATGGGGTATAGCTCCCTTCGTAAACGTCGATATTCTTTGTTTGCTCTGCACAAACCCAACCATTTTTGCAGTAGTCGAGGATCAACAGATTTAGCTAACGCAAACAAATTTCAAAAATTGATTCGGCAACATCAAATACACGTTGAGTTCGGGGGGCATGTCCATATCAGGTCGTCTTGAGTTGTCTCATGGATACCTTAAATTCTAAGTCTAACAGCGTGAATCCTAATAAGATCATGTTCTCCGATTATAGGGTGATTGAACCACCATTATATCACATACTATTATTGGGTTGATGCACAATTATTGCACCAAAAAATAGAAAAAAATTATTTTGAAAATGCTTAAACAAGCTAATCAGCTTACGGAATATGCTCTTTTGTATATCAAAAGTAGTATTTTATAGTATATTATAGAAAAACAGTATGTCAATTTAAAACAAAATCAATAAGTCAATTTTGAATAATCGAAATTCGCAACTATTCGCAGATACATCCACTCACTACCGACTTCTCTTAGTTAAAAAGAGCATGTCATAAAACTTCAAGCAAAAATAAATTTAATTTTTAGTAGACGTTTTAGCAATTTTAATGAGCAAAAATCGAAAAGCCGCTTTTTGGGTTTTTCTTTTGTTCACATTACGGCGGTATGCCTTCAAGGAATTTTGACTTAAGCGCCATCAGAAAGCGCAAGATTTGCTTTCTATATATAAATTAAACTATTTTATCGAGGCTGGATGAAATAACAGAATTTCAGAAATTTTGGTGTAAGAATTATGCATCAACCTAATATTTTGGCCTGATTCTGCAAGCAAAGCTAGACAGCACGATTGACAATTTTTTTACTAGGAAATTATAGACTTCATAGCGCTTACTTTGTACATCTGGATAGATTTTGAACATATTTTTTTATTTATATGTGTAATTCAAGGATGATTGGTTGCAAGCTTATGTGTCACTTGGAATCTAATTTAATCTAACATATAAAGAATCTTTAGCTCAATTCAAAATCTTCCAATAGCGGGAAAACGCGGTGCGGTTCCGAAACGCGCGGATGCAATCTAGCACCTTCATTTATTTACCAGGAAATTCTTTGAGATTTTGCATCTCTTTCCTTCAAGCTCCAAAATAGCGCTAGCTTTTTTCACAATGGAGCTAACCCTTTGATCATTAACCAAGCACAAGTGAACAATTATTTTCTGGTTTATCTTTTTCTTCTCAAACGCACGCCGCTACATGATCGATGCGACAAGGCTAAATGAAACTTCTCACCGGGTCGTTCTGTCGCAAACCGCAAATTTTGGCTTACAACGAATCTATTCATTCATTTATTTTGTTCATCATCTATTTCAACACTACCACGACAAAAAAAAACTCTTTTGATTAGCTTTGCTAATAGGTTGGCATTTAAGTACTTCATCTTTACTAATTCCAAAATTTTCTTCAATTTTTATTCTGAGGTACCCATTGGTCTCGCTTGGCGAGTATCGTGGCGATGGCATAGATTTCAGTTCATGTAGGACAAACACATCACAACTTTTCAATATATAGATGATGTTTTGGATTGATCAAGGTGCAAGGGAGTAAACTGATCATGTTTTGGTTGGACAGCCTATTAGAATAGGCTGTAAATTAGTTCAGATTTACAATCTTCTCTTCGATGATCATTTTACGGCTTTTCACTGGTTTGGGTTCGCTGCAAAATCCAGTCGAGCTCTGCAGAAAGTGACTTGCTCTCCAGTTTTTCCTGGATCCAGCGATTTGGCTGACAATTGGCGATTGCTGAAAAATATGGAAATTCGCCACGTAATATACATGCAATATCTGCTGATGATTTTGTTCTTGCTAATGGCTTATGCATGACTTTTCCTTTTTGAATCATCTTACTAACAGATTTCGAAGTGATAAATAAACCAAAAATGTGGTAGGAGTATTTGTGGTAGCGAATATCTGAAATGGAGAAGTAACAATAGCATAGGGAGGTCGAAGAAATCATGTACCAAACTTTTCCGAGCCTTGCTTAGAGTTGAGACAAGAAACTCTAACATTAGCAATGGAGTTCGCAGTATGAAGCACTTAGCAATGATCTCTAAACACTTTAAATGGGAGAGAGGGAGGCATTCTCAATCAAACGCATCAATGTACTCATTTTTCAAATGAAGTGAACTATTCAAGCAGACTGAAGTGCATTACCTCAATGGAGGTAAATTTGGCTATTGAGTGAACAGGCTTCAGTCGCAGCAATGCCGTTTCACTTCTTTCCATTTACGACCAATAAAAGGCGTTAGAAAGCCCTTCTTGGCATGTTTTTAAGCCTTTCGCAAGCGTGTACATGCTTATGTGAGGAAACCCATGATAAGAAAAGTCTCATTTGATGTGCCCCAACCGTAACGCTGTGAATATTCTGCGATTAGTATGCAAGCCAAGAAGAAAGTTAAAAATATATCGGTGGCGATCAAAGTGCTTGTATCAAGAACGCAAAACAATTTACCTATCCAGATTAATCATTCCAATCTTATTAACACGGCTCGGCACAGGTTTCTTATAGCAAGCTGGATATCGTTTTTGGGACAAAAAGCAAAGGGGTTTCGTTTTTGTGGCCGAAAAGAAAAAAAATCTAAGACGTTTTTCTTAGTCGACGTTTCGTTTTTTAAAGATTTTTTAGAAATTATGGTCTAGATCAAAGGGGACTTCGTAAAAATTCGAAAGTCAAGGAAGACTTCGTTTTTTGCATTTTCAACTAGCCACCTCGTGCCGAGCCCTGTTTATTAAAAATACACCTAAATGATGGTGTGCACCCTAGTAAGGTTTCAGTAGCTACCGCATCATTGTATAGTGAGTGGAATGAGGTTTTAACAAATATGGTCATTAATCCAGCGTTGAATTCGGCCTCAGCTGATTGGCAAAAGTATGGCGAAAGTTTGCTGAATTTCAACTTCTCTGTTTTTGGTGGGAAGCTTTGAATCAGAATTTTTTCTTCGTACTAGTGCCCTGATAGACGTCGAAGGCGACAAAAGAAGGCTCTTCTTTTGTTCAACATGAAACGCTCCCCAACCAACCTTCTAACGAGGATTTTCACAAAGAACTAGATCATGTCCAAACTTTAAAGTTCACAGATGTAGTCAGGTGGTTTATTGCGCTTAGTCATTGTCAAGTTATAATTATGTCATCGAAAGGTGTTTCACATCGTAAGATGGGGCGAGCGTTCTTCCAGAAAAAAGCAAATCTTGGAAATTGGTAATTGACTCAAGAATGATTCATTGATCGGAATGAGCTACAAATTCAGAGAAGTTGTGCTACAAAAACTTGCTAAAGAAATTTGCGAAATGTTTCTGGTTCTGTAAGTATGGGAAGCAATCCCTTGGATGACATTTTGTGCTAGGCTATCGGGTGACTCTAAAGTCAAAATGAGTCCCTAAAACTGAGGGTGCCACCATTGGTGTATGCGTGAAGAAACTAATGGAAAGATCCACGGTGCTGGAAAACAATGACAGGGGAACTATCAAAAGTGACTTGAATCGAATGCTTTGAAATCATTTACCATTTGTACCAACTGGTGTCCTCTAAACTCATCTAAAAATATATTACAATACAACACTTTTTCCTCTACTTTGATGACTTTCACTTTCACCTGCGTAGTTTACGAACACTTGACATCGTAAGGTGGTCGCTATTGTACGCGGACAGGAAGTTAGCATTATGAAAGAAGCGAAGAATAGAGGACAATGGGATGCAAGAAAGTTGAAACGTTGACAGGTATGTATGGGGCGCAATAGGCGAGGTCAAGAGGGGCCGTGAAAAAATGTACCAAAACTAGAGCGGCGACCAGATGGCTTCGCTGCTAGTCACCGAATTGGCCGTGTTATAAAAAGTTCTCTGCTGGGTCTAAACAGAACAGATCAGTTGATCAGGGAAGGGATATACTATATGGAGGGGGGTTCAGTTTACAAAACTCTGCTTCAAAACTTTAGAACTTCCCAAAACATAAGCCGCCTTAGTCTCGGTTCTGAAAATTCGATCATCTCAAAATTACACAAGTACGAAGCGGAAAATTCAACTGTGTTTCTTTGTTTGTGACCGAAATAATAGCCAAAAATAGGACAACTAAAACTTGATGGAAATAAGTTAATGGCAATCTCGGCCGAATGGACAACTTACCTACGTTATCGAACCAAGTAAGCCGCTCTCGTATGTCTTTGAGCTCCTTCAAACTATTTTGATTCAGATGTATAGTGGAGTCCCAATTGAGGCATTTTTCATGCATTTTGGTGAAGTGCTGACCCAATGCAGTTTGCATATGATGCTTGCCTTTCATATTCAGCTAGAATTAGGTGCTTGGCCGAAATGGATGGTCCCCAGTTTTCGATAAAATATAGGCAAACCGCACAATAAATTCTCTCACAAGAGACAATTTGAAGCCGAAACTACGGAAATCATTCCGGAAATTTAACTCATTTTTGATACCTTGGCCTTGACCTTATCCCAA